TGAAAAGTGAATTTACTCTGTAAATCTTCACCCAAATCCTAATAAAAAAATAAATAAATAAAATGTATTTATAACAACCAATAGCATGGTTATGAAGTTTCTTCCAAAGTTTTTAACCAGTGCCAACGCAAGTAGATACATGTCCACAATTATCCATAATTCCAAAATTCAGAAAGCTCTGAAAAATTAGTGTTTTTAATACATCTGAGAAAAGTAAATTTGGTGGCAAAATCTGACCTGAACTGATACAAGACTGTTACAGTCTGTAATAATCTTCCATAGTGTGAAATTCATATTGATTGCTACAGAAACATTAGTATGTTTGATTAAGTGCTACTTGTCCCAGACTTTGCTGTGTGAATTACAAAGTACATATACATAAAAAACAAAAGTGAGTCACCTCCTCTCACTCATTCCATGATATGATAGCTGTTCAATCTGACTTCCCTTATCATAATGATATTGGATCTTATTCACCCAAAACCTATCACTTTGTTTTTGTTATTAGTTTCCATGGAGTTGATTCTGACCCATGGTGACCCTGGGAGCTCTGGTGCCACAGTGCATAAGGCATTAGACTGCTAATCAGCAGGTTTGGTGGTTCAAAACTACCAGCCACTCCTCGGAAGGAAGGTTGGGCAATCTACTTCTGCTGAGATACTGCCTTGGACACCCAAGGAGGGGTTGCTATGAGTTGGATCCAACTAAGTGGCAGTGGGTGGGATTTTTTCATGGTGACCCCACGTGTATAGGACAGAACTGTGCTCCATAGGGTTTTCAAAGCTGTGGCCTTTTGGAAGCAGATCACCAGGCATTTCTTCCGAGGCACCTCTGGGTGGGTTCACATGGCTGACCGTCCAGCGAACAGTCAAGTGCTTAGCCTTTTGGACCACCCAGGGCCTCTACATCACCTGTATCCTTGTAAAACAGGAAACATTATGAATTCCAAAATGCATGTGGTTCCAAGAGTTTGGGTTAAGGGACTGATTGTTTTTGTTGTTATGTGCCATTGAGTCAGCCCCAACTAATAGCAACACCTCCTTGGGTTTCCAAGGCAGTATCACTATGGAAGTAGATTGCCCAGTCTTCCTTCTGAGGAGTGGCTGGTGGGTTTGAACCGCCAGCCTTCTGGT